CGAAGTCAGACACTTAACCAACTGAGCCACCCAGGCACCCCAGAGTCCATTATTAATAGTAATGTGGGAGAATTGAAGTTGAGTAAAATAAGGGGCCTCCTACAGCATAGTTTTGTGCTGGAGTCATACAAATGCATTAGTAGTTCTCAGAATAAGTAGACTGACAAATACCATTATAGGAGCACAAACTTGAGAATAAACCCATTTAACTATTTTAGATTTGTAGCATTTACTTGAAGAAACAAAAAGCAATGTCTTATTGCCTGCTAGTGTTACTTCATTGCTTCAGTCAGCAGACCAGATTGATTGATTGATTGATTGATTGATTGATTTATTATGTTTTTAATTTATTTTGTGAGAGAGAGCATGTGTGAGCAGGGGAGGGACAAAGAGAGAGTGAGACAGAAACCCAAGCAAGCTCTGAGCTGTCAGCTCAAAGCTCAACATAAGACACCAGCTCACAGATCGTGAGATCATGACCTGAGCCAAAACTGAGAGTCAGACACTTAACTGACTGAGCCATCTAGGTGCCACCAGATAGTGATATTTATTAAAATGAAAAGCTCCTATAGAAAAGATTAAATAGATTATTGATCACAAGATAGTAACACTCAAGATTAAAAATCATCATAAAATTGAAAGCATAATTATTACTGCTTCTACTTGGAATTCTATTTAAAGTCAGACCTTGAGATCAGCTTGGAAAGAACTGAAAGCCCTGTGTAGCAGCTGTGGAACTCTTTTTTTTTTTTTTTTTTTTTAAGTTTATTTATTTTTTAGTAATCTCTACACCTAACGTGGGGCTTGAACTAATGACCCCGAGATCAAGAGTCACACGCTCTTCCAAATGAGCTAGCCAGACTCCCCTGGAAGGAACTCTTTTGAAAAATACTTTATAGGTTTTGTTGTAAGATACCCAAATATTTTGGTTAAATTTCTTTAAAAAAAAAAGAAAAGAAAAGAAAAAAAGCAAGCCACTGTGGAAAACAGTATGGAGGTTCCTCAAAAAATGAAAAATAGAATTACCATGTGATCCAGTAATTCCACTACTGGGTATTTAACCAAAGAATATGAAAACACTAATTTGAAAAAATACATGCACCCCTATGTTTATTGCAGCATTATTTACAATAGCCAACATATGGAAGCAACCCAAGTGTCCATCAATAGTAGATGAATGGATGAAGATGTGGAATGGAATTCCACAATGGAATATTACTCAAGTAGCCGTAAAAAAGAATGAAATCTTGCCATTTGCGACAACATGGATGGATCTAGAGGGTATGCCGCTAAGTGAAATAAGCCAGAGAAGACAAATACCATGATTTCATTCATAGGTGGAATTTAAGAAACAAAACAAATGAACAAAGAAAGAAGAGACCAGCAAAAAAATAGAGCTCTTCCCTCCCACCCCCAGACTCTATTTAAATGTAGAGAAAAAACTGGTGGTACCAGAGGGGAGGTGGATGGGGCGATGGGTGAAGGGTCACTTACTATGATGGGCACAGAGTAGTAATATATAGTATTGTTGAACTAGTCTATTGTACACCTGAAACTAATATAACTATGCTAATTTTACTGGAATTTTTTTTTTTAAAGGAAAGCCTAGGATGAGGCCCAGGAACTAGCATTTTTAACAAGAATGTAAGGTGTTCCTGATGCAGGGATCTGGGAACCACAATTTGAGCAGCGCTTTAGTTGCGCTCTCAGGCTCAACTATTGATGGCAACCTATCAGTGCAGCATTGTACCCAGGTAGAGAAATACAAAGAGAACTGACCTGAGAAAGGATGTGTAAGCCTTCTAGATACTTTGGAAAAAGTGGGCCTCGGGAGATTAATCTTTTGCATAAATGAGTTATCCTCTGTGTATAAATTATGGGGATCTAACCTGGACAATATATATAAAAACACTGTTGTCCTCCACTTTTAAAGGTATTGTGGGGGGTGCCTGGGTGGCTCAGTCGGTTGAGTGTCTGACTTTGGCTCGGGTCTGATCTCACCGTTTGTGAGTGTGAGCCCTGAGTCAGGCTCTGTGCTGACAGCTCAGAGCCTGGAGCCTGCTTCAGACTCTGTGTCTCCCCCTCTCTCTGACCCTTCCCCACTCTCACTCTGTGTGTGTGTGTGTGTGTGTGTCTCAAAAATAAATAAACGTTAAAAAAAATTTTTTTTAAAAGGTATTGTGAAGACAAAATGTAGTTAAGTAAATGAAGAGCTTTGAAGGGCAAAGGTTTTTTTGTAATTAAGATGTTATAATAAATTTTAAAATTATGTAGTATTGTTAATACTATATTTAAAATGTGATTTCCCCCCTCAATGGCTTTTGTGTTTTATGGTTAAATACCATTTTAATACACATAGAATCATCATTTTTCTTCAATAAGAATAATTTGCTTATCATTTATATGAAGGTCAGTCCTGAAACTGTATAAGCCTACACAAATTACTTGAAACAGTTCCCTTAAAAAAAAGAAAGAAGGGTTCTGTCATTTTGCAAGTAAGACAAGTAGATGCAAGCAATCAAGGCATCCTCTTGGGTCCATTTCTGTTTGGGATAAAGATGTGTTTGATGGTCATTTGGATGTTTCTGCTGAGTCAGAGGAATGTGATGCAACAATAGGAAGTTGTTTTGGAAGACAAATGATTACTCTCACCAGAATGCAATTGCTATTAAAATCAGAGGGAAAATGTTTTGTGTGTGCATGTGTGGCATAAACCCATGTGCCTGGGCTTATGACTGTGGGCATCTACACATTTGCCAGGGCTGGGCCCTCTAATAAGTTTGAGATCGAATATGTGCTATATTGTGCCAGCTGCATCCTTCCTAACTTGAGCCTTTTTTTTGTGGATAATATACATAACAACTTCATATGTATGAAATAAGTATTTACCCTGTGTGCTAGTATTTAATATTTACCAATTTTCATTCTTTCTGCCAAGATGTTTTGAGAACTATTTTAAATGCCATCTCTCCCCCCCATTTTTTTTTTTTTTTTTTTTTTTTTTTTTTTTTTTTTTTTTTTTTTTTAGCTCTGCTTATGATAATGTCAACAAAGTTCGAGTAGCTATCAAGAAAATCAGTCCTTTTGAGCACCAGACCTACTGCCAGAGAACCCTGAGGGAGATAAAAATCTTACTGCGCTTCAGACATGAGAACATCATTGGAATCAATGATATTATTAGAGCGCCAACCATCGAGCAAATGAAAGATGTGTATCCTTTTCAGGCAACTGACTCCACTGATTAGTCACCTTGTTGAGTAAAGTTAACTTGAAATGCCTGGACTTGTCAGAGTAAAGGAAAAGTATATATAAAGCACATTAAAGGGGAAATTATAATCTGCTTGCTATTTAATATAAGATTTGTGTAATTTTTATCTTTGATTCATTTTATCAGTTGTAACTATTTTTAGAGTCTTTTGGCAAATCAGATATTTTTTGTTTCAGCAAAAATTTTGTTTAAGTGCAGTTATGGAGAATCTTAACACCATTTTGTCATTTTTTTTTTTTCCATTCAAGGTATGGTTTGTTATGGTAACAAGAAATGAACAGTAGACTAAGAAAGTGGGTGCCCTGGATATCACCTGCTCAAATCTAGACTGTTCTGATCTTAGATAATGTCATTCACCTCCAAGTCTGTTTTCTCATCTTTAGAATTAAGGTACCTAGCCTTCATGATCTTTAAAGCTGACTCAGCTCTGAATTTATGTTATTAATTATGACCAACATTTAGAAATCTGGACTAAACAGGTCCAGAGGATACTGCCTGGGTAAAGACTATATTTGAAAAATATGTTAAGTATACCGAAGAGGGTCTGCCAAAAAAGAGTTACTGTTCAGGCTAGTATAGCATTCCTACCAGTTTTTCCAATTTGCATTCTGCACCCCCCCCCCCCCCCCCCCCCCCCCCCCCCCCCCACCGCACCTCACCTCTACCTTTTCATTTTTAAACTGCTCTATTATCAAGTTGTGGTGCTATTTTAAGTGAAATGCCTCCTGCTGCTACCACCTGTTGTCCTGCTTTAAGGGCTTTGCTTGGAAAATCAGGTCTCTTTCAAGATGACAAGTTTTCAAATCCTGTTTTCTTTGAATCCCATGAATCTGTAGGGGACATACAATAATATGTACAGTACTTACACAAATGAATATGAGAAATGCAAAAACACTGCTAATGAAATAATAATATGGTGAAGTTAAAAGCCAAAGGGTTCTATAATTTCTGTAAGAAAGATGTCAGCCATAGATAACATTCTAGATGGCTTGGATATGTGGATAGTCAAGAAAGCAAAAGGAGCAAAACCAGCATGAGCCCCTGAGCATGACTTCCCAATACTGTCTTGTGTTTAGGATCTTAATGTTAATTGAAGAGTCAGGCACATAGAGGACTGAATTTAGTAGCAGTGTGTTCTAGGTCTGTATTTCCAAAGATTTTATGGTTGATTCTTAAGGAGAAGGAGGGGGGACAAGAAGGTAAAAGAACATTATAAAGAGTATTATAGATCATTGCTGGGCCAAAGAGAGGAGGGAGTGTATGATGCCTGCTGGCCACCTTCCTCTCCTAGCCCTTTCCGGTAATCATTGGAGAGGGTTTGTTGATGGTAGACACCTTGCAGTACTAGAAGACTGATACATCTCTATTGGCCAGTATTTCCATAACAGACTGTCTCAGCTCAGTCTAGGCCCATTGTTGGGCACATCAGGCAGATATTAATGCCTGTTGTGTCACAGGACCTAAGAAAGAGTTAACTACTTTAGATTCCATCCATAGAGGTATACCAAGTTTTCATCAGTTTCTCCTATCCCTTGTAAGGCCTCATGATATAATGACCATTTGGGGAGAGGGTTCATTTTGTTTTCAGTGTTTTGCTACATGTAACCAGATATTGGTGTGTTACCTTAACCTGTCTAAACAGATATATAGTACAGGACCTCATGGAAACAGATCTCTACAAGCTCTTGAAGACACAACACCTCAGCAACGACCATATCTGCTATTTTCTTTACCAGATCCTCAGAGGGTTAAAATATATCCATTCAGCTAATGTACTGCACCGTGACCTCAAACCTTCCAACCTGCTGCTCAACACCACCTGTGATCTCAAGGTCAGCTAGGTTATTTACTCTTTGGGTGATATATGTTGGAAAAACTCTTTCACCGGGGCATATTTATGTTGTCATCCGTACTTAAAATCATACCAGAAATTAAATGAAAACATTTTTATAGCTTAAAAGCAAAAAAAAATAATGCAAATAAAGAGTGCTGGTCCTCTTCTTCATTCCATTGTTCCTCCTCTCCAGAGGTAACCACTATAACACATTGGTGTGTTTTCTTCCAAAGTTTTTGCTATGCTCTTACATGTATGTGTATGTTTATGCTTACATATATAAAAGGATCATGTGCATTATGTGTAAGTTTAAAAATCATCCATTTCGGGGCGCCTGGGTGGCGCAGTCGGTTAAGCGTCCGACTTCAGCCAGGTCACAATCTCGCGGTCCGTGAGTTCGAGCCCCGCATCAGGCTCTGGGCTGATGGCTCAGAGCCTGGAGCCTGTTTCACATTCTGTGTCTCCCTCTCTCTCTGCCCCTCCCCCGTTCATGCTCTGTCTCTCTCTGTCCCAAAAATAAATAAACGTTGAAAAAAAAAAATTAAAAAAAAAATCATCCATTTCATTGGTAATCTTTTTATTCAGTAAGTTATATACAAAGAATGCTCAGAAAGGGATGTCTGGGTGGCTCAGTTGTTAAGCATCTGACTTCAACTCAGGTCATGCTCTCATGTTTCACGAGTTTGAGTCCCTCATTGGGTGAGCTCAAGCCTCGCTTCTGGTGAACATAAGCCCTGCTTTGGGTAAAACATGAGCCCCACTTTGGGTGAGCCCCACCTCCCTCCCTTCCTCCCTCTCTCTCTCTTTCTCTCTATCCCTCACTCACTTGCACCTTCTCTCAAAACAAAACAAAAACAACAGAAAAAACCCCACACTCAAAAAACAGCACCAAACTTAACCTTAATGACTTTAATACCTAAATAACGTATTCCCAACAAATAGGGAAGCCCTAGATCCTTATAGTCCTCAGAATTCTCTTAAAAATGGGCAGCATTTGTGTACATATATTTCTATTTTAATAGTAGAACTAATAAATAAGGAGGGAAATCTACAGATGCATTAGATACGATAAAAAGGCATGTGAATTCAAGAAGACCTAGATAAATGGAAGGATATGCCATGTTTATGGATTGATTGCAAGACTTAATCTTGTTTAGATGGCATTGCTTCCCAAATTGGTTTACATAGTCAGGGTGACTGTGTCAAAGCTCCAGGTGGCTTTTTTGCAGAAATGGGCAGGCTGGTCCTGAAATGTGTATGGAAGTTTGAGAGACCCAAAATAGCCAAAATAATCTTAATGAAAGAGCAAAGTTGGAGAGCTCACATTTCTTGCTTTCAAAACTTACTACAAAGCTTTTGTATTCAAGACCCTGTGATATTTGGCATAAGAATGGGCATTATAGATCAATGGAATAAGATTGAGAGTTAATAAATAAACCCATATGTTTATGATGGTTTTTGGTGAGAGTGCCAAGATCATTTTTTTCAAAAAAATGGCACTGGGACAATTGGATATATACTCCTACCATGTACAAAAACTAACACAAAACAGATCAAAGACCTAAATTTAAGAGCTAAACTGGAATAGGCTTGGAAAACATAGGAGTGAGTTTTTGCAGTCTTGCATTAGGCAAATCCTATTAGACTTGACACCAAAAGCAAAGGCAACAAAAGGGGGAAAATTAGATTTCATCTAGATTAGGAACCTGTTTTATAAAGTAAACCATCAGGAGGGGCACCTGGGTGCCTCAGTCGGTTAAACATCTGACTTTGACTCAGGGCAAGATCTCACAGTTCTTGAGTTTGAGCCCTGTGTTGGGCTCTATGCTGACAGCTCAAATCCCGGAGCCTGCTTTGGATTCTATGTCTCCCTCTCTGCCCCTTCCCACCTCTCAAAAATAAATAAACATTAAATAAATAAATAATAAAATTTTATTTAAAAAAATTTTTTTTTACATTTATTTATTTTTGAGAAACAGAGTGAAACAAAGCATTAGTGGGGGAGGGGCAGAGAGAGAAGGAGACACAGAATCCGAAGCAGGCTCCAGGCTCTGAGCAAGCGGTCAGCACAGAACCTGATGCGGGGCTCGAACCCGCAAACTGTGAGATCATGACCTGAGCTGAAGTCGGACGCTCAACCACCTGAGCCACCTAGGCACCCCAGTAAATAATATAATTTTTAAAAAGTAAACCGCTAAGAAAGGGAAAAGACAACCCACAAAATGAGAGAAAATATTTGTAAATCATGTGTCTATAGACACTTTTATCTATAATATATGAAAAGCTCTTACAACTCAACAATAAAAGATAAATAGCCCAGTTTAACATAGGGCAAAGAATTTGAATAGACATTTCTCTAAAGAAGTTGTACATATGGCCAATAAGTACATGAAAAGATGCTTGGAATCCTGAGTCAGTAGGGAAATGCAAGTCAAAACCACAATGAGATAACCATTTGTGCACACTAGGATGGCTGTAATCAAAAAGTCAGATGGTAAGTGTTGTTGAGGATTCCACTTGTAGGTGTATACCTAAGTAAAATGAAAATGTGTCCACCCAAAAAGCATACAAATATTTAAAGTGGCATAATAGTCCAAAAGTGGAAATAATTTGAATGTCCATATGATGATGAATAAATAAAATGTGATAGATTCAGGGGGACCTGGGTGACTTGGTTGGTCAAACCTCTGGCCCTTGATTTTGGCTCAGGTCATGTCCCTGTTTGTGAGATTGAGCCCCAAGTCAGGCTTCACACTGACAGCCTGGGGCCTACTTAGGATTCTCTCTCCCCCTCCCCTGCTCTCTCTTTCTCTCTCAAAAAAAGTTTGTAAAAAATGTGGTAGATCCATACAGTGGAATAAAAAGGAATAGAGTGCTGATACATGCTACAGTGTGGATGAATCTTGGGAAATTGTTATGTAAATGAAAGAAGCCAGTCATAAAAGGCCACATACTGTGTGGTTCTATTTATGTGAAGTGTCTAGAATAGACAAATATATAGCAACAGGAAGTGGATTAGTGGTTGCCTAGGGCTGGTGGGATTGGGGAGGAATAGGCAGACTAATGTGTACAAGATTTCTTCTTGTGGTTACAGAAATGTTCTAAAATTGATTGGTGGTAACAGTTGTGTAACCCTGTGATTTTAACACCAAAAACTATTGAATTGTATGCCTTAAGTTATGGGTGAATCATATGGTATGTGAATTATATCTCAATAAAGCTGTTTAAAAAGTGCATTTAGATGTAGAGCAATGATCATTTCTTGTACTTCAGTTTAATAGACATTCCTGTGAGAAGCCCTTAAGTTGTACCTAGCAAGGGAGAGGGGGGAATGTCTGTTTCTGCAATCTCAGACCGGATAGGTGAGAAGTCTGATAAACAATAGATGATTGTAATAATATCTGCTGTAACTGAGATACTGAAAAGAATAGTATACAGATACAAAGGAGAGAGTTGGGTTCTGTCTGGGGCTTTGAGAGGTATCTGGAAGAAGGTGGCATCCATGCTGGCCTTCCAAAGATGAGCAGGCTTTCAGTAAGGGAGTGGCTGTCTTCGGTATAGGGTATTGTAGAAAGTCATTGGATGCTAGCTGGTGATATTGGTTGGAAGTAGATCATGGAGAACCTTCTGGAACTGTCTGAAAAAGGGCAGTGAGTTCTGTTACTAGGTAGTCAGATAGCTTATTTGCTATCATTGAGTGTTTAAAACAGGGTGCCCAACATTCTGTGAGATGTGGTAGAGGGTAGCTTCCTACATTAGATACAGTTGGGTTAGACTCTGTCATCTCTTGGGATCCTACAGTTAGATTAATATACTTCTTACATGGGGTGTAACCAGATCCTTTCCATGTATCTATGTATGTAACTAAAAGCCAGGTGGGCACAAAAGGAATGAAGCTGCTTGTAGGAATGGCCACACTTCATTGGCTCTTAGTGATTTTCTTTCTTGAAAAATAGTATTTTTATGTCTCTTCCTACTTTTCTTTTTTTCTTTCTATTTCTTACCATCACAACTCTGTTATGACAGATTATTTTTGTTTTGGGAGAAACATTCTCTAGTATTTTCAGTATATAATATTTCTGGGGAAAAAAGTTAAGACAAAAACAAACAGAATCAGACTACGTTGTTGTCTCTTCATTGTTTGTGGGCTTGTCTTTACCTAGGGCCATTTTATTCTCTGCTCACCAAAATTTACACCCACATTAATATATCTGTGTTGTTGGCCATCTGCACAACCCAAGTATTGTTTTCAAAACCCAGTGTAACACAGAGACTCAGAAATACAATAAGATAATTAAGATATTTTCAGCAGTACAGTTCACCCACATTTTGAAATGTTCATATGGGGTTTGATTCATTCACATAGGTATAAATATTCAGGAGAGAATCTCATTTGTAAAGATGAGTACGATATGTCCTCCGTTTTGTCCTGTTGAACATGTCCAAAGGGCAGGGTAGGGCATAGTGGCAGTTCAGGTGCATACATGAAGGTTGAAAGAGCACAAGTGGGGAAGAGGGTCTTTTCTGCTTGAGCTCTGAAATCACTGTATATCCATCACATCCTCAGTACCTTCCAGTAATCATGTTGCCTATACCACAAGCTCCTGTGCTTAGAAAGTTTGTAACCTGTGATCTTTTTTTTTTTTTAATTTTTTAAATGTTTTATTTATTTTTGAGACAGAGAGAGACAGAACGTGAGCAGGGGAGGGGCAGAGAGAGAGGGAGACACAGAATCCGAAGCAGGCTCCAGGCTCCGAGCTGCCAGCACAGAGCCGGACGCAGGGTTCAAACCCACGGACTGTGAGATCATGACCTAAGCCAAAGCCGGACGCTTAACCGACTGAGCCACCCAGGTGCCCCTGTAACCTGTGATCTTACTCATCTCTTGTTATTTAGGGTTTTCTGAAATATCAAGTGGATAGTTATATATGTCATTTCTTCCTTTTTCCATTGGCTTCTCTGTTACTAAAGTATTTTCTACTCTTGAGCCCTCAGGAT